TCAAAAGAATAAATATAATACCTGAAATTTCGGATGTTACATTAAGAGAGAAGAGAGGCACATGGCGGGGTTTTCGGTTGAAGGTGATGGGAGAGAGATATGAACGCCAAAAAAAAATTTGTTTTTGAAGTGGAATTCAATTAATTGATCTACTCTGATCTACATGTGATGACGGTGATGGAACACATATGCAATATATTTTATGTCTTTTAGGCATCACGAATAATAATGACTAAAAGTCACAATAACATCTTGAAAGCCAGAAACCACATACGGTGAAGGTAAACAAACCTTATTAAAGCAAATGTTATTGGTACAAAATGAGAAAAACCAAAACTAAAAATCAAAATTGCATTCGTTTTTAGTAAGATAGAAAGGGTAATCACGGTACTTTACCTCTTTTAAGTATAGATAGAGTTATAGGGATGTTCATCGACGACTGAGAAGTGGATGGTCAAGCAGAATGCTGGAACAGATAACGACAACAAATTGGTGATAGTTCATTTGGGGATGAATGGTTTGTGGAATTGATCGGAAGAAATTTCCATTATGATTTCACAATGTAAAAATTAGAAGACTAATGATCTGCAGACCAAGCAAAAACAGAAGTGAGGATTCGACAAAAAGCTAAGTCATTGACCACATAAATTTCAGAAATCGGAACAAATTACACTAATATAAGTAGAGAAGTCAACAAAATCGAGCAAAATAAATCAATACTTACAGGGGATTCGATGGAGGTGGTGGTAGAGGTTTCAATTAGGCTTCAAGAATCGATATAGAAGCAACAACGTTTGATCTAGTGTTATTGGAGAGAAAGTCCATGACTGTGTGAAGGTTTAAAGTTAAGGAGATAGTAGTAAGTGAGAAATTTGAAGAAATCGACGAACCTAGATGGTGGTGGGATACTGGGAGTGTTGAAGGTGGTGGGGATGACGAACCCTATCAAACAAGTAACGATGAAGAAGGGGCAAGCCAGTGGTGACGACAGAATACTGTCACAATCAATGCATATGCCTTCATTAAAAAGCGAGTGAAATCAAAATAATACGAGAAGTGAGTGTGGGTGCTAGGGTTTTTAAAGTGATTTTTGAAGAGATTCAATTCAAATTTTGAATCAAATAAGGGGTGTACGGAGATTAGGGCGGAGATTATGGGATGACGATGGAAACAAGTGAGATAAGGAGAAGGCAACAAATTTCAACTTATGACTTTTGACTTATTCATCTGTTTCATTAGATAATATCTAATTTTTCTGCACGCATAAATAAATTGTAAATATAGTATTATGATTTGTACCTCTTAAAATTTAGCAAAACATGGTAAATGATTTTTAAGGTGTGTGTGTGTGTGTGTGTGTGTGTGTATATATATATATATATATATATATATATATATATATATATATAAGGAAGGGTTATTTGGAAAACAAAAAAACCCTAAAAATCATAAAAATGCATAAAGAAATACCAAGACATCACAAAACTTTATTTTGAATTTTTTTATCAAAAAATCACAGTATTTTTAACAATTTCGTTGAAAAAAAAATCATTTTTTTATTTTATTATACATATATATATATATATATATATATATATATATATATATATATATATATATATATATATTCAAAATAGTTTTCAGTGATTTTGACCTAAAAGTTGCAATTTTTTAATAAAAAAATTCATTTTTTTTTGTGATCTCTAAGTATTTTTTTTATGCATTTTAATGATTTTTAGCATTTTTAGGGTTTTTTGTTTTCCATAGAACCTAAACATATATATATATATATATATATATATATATATATATATATATATATATATATATATATATATATATATATATATATATATATTCTTTTTTTGGATTTGAATTATCTAAATTTTAGTGATTTGCATAAATAGCAAAAAATATATTTAAACTTTTGTCAAAAAATAAAAGTATTAGTAAACAAAAAAAGGATATATGACAAACTAATTATCATAGTTTTACAAGTGTGTAACTTGGTCATAATTTTATCCGATGAACTTTTTATCCCTAATGATTTGTGTGACATGAAAGCAAATCGGTATTTGTTTTACATATTTGTATTTAGAATATTATGTATATGCTTCATTAACTTATGATGCCACTTAGAAAAAAAAAAAAAAAAAAAAAAGGTTGGAATTTTACGAACATTTATTTGTGTAACAAGATAACATGAAATCAAATAAGTATTTCATTTTTGTAGAAAATGCAATGGTTTTCTGTCCATAAACTCCAATCAATTATAATGTATACACAACATTAATTAAGATATAATTATGCTTCAACTATATACAATGTTAGAACTTTGAACCCTGATCTCTACATTAAAGTTTGCTACATGTAGGATGACAACTTGCATGCTAAAATGCTGATGGTGCTTCACAATCACTAATATTGAGCATATATTACAGAGGTATTTTTGTTCCAAACCCCCTAACATATACATACCATACAATCTTAAATTTTAATCTTATTGATCCTATAAATATGGACTACAATGACTTTTGTTGGTTTTCTTCATGAAATAGTAAATGATGGAATCCACAAGGTCTATTAATGTAACCCAAGCAAGCCATTGTGTAAAGGGGTTAGACTTTTGTACTGTTGTGATGTTATTGTGATTTCACAAAAGTTAAATATACTTAGCTACTAAGGTTGCACTGTTGTGATGTTATTGTGATTTCAAAAAAGTTAAATATACTTAGCTACTAAGGTTGATACATGTGGATTTTTCTCACTATGGGATATTTGGCAAAATAAATGATTTTATGATACAAAGTTTACTATGCAAATGATTATGAATATTTTCAAGTATGCCTACTTGGTATGTATGTTTAAATGATTTTGAATGACGAAATATGATATATGATTTCTTATGTAAACATGTCATAGTTTATATTGTTATAGTTCTATGCAAGGTCATATGATTGTATTCAAGATATTCAAGTTTATGTTTACATAAGAAAATACCATGACTTTTGTGTGTGATTGACTTGCATAAAAGAAAATTGGTGTCCATAAAATACATTGGGTGCGATGTACATGCATAATGTCTGAACACATGATGTCCCAAATATGGGATAAGGACTTTCATGGGATGCTACCTCGCTCCCCAAAGTAGAGGTCTAAGATACCTTTATAGGTTGATTTGTTCTCCATATTTGGTAAGGATGATAGGGTGACACTATTTGAGTAATGCATATGTGCTCAGATCGGTATAGTCTGTAATCAATCGACTGTATATCAATACAAAGGTAAGATTGTATATTAATACGAATGCATGATATGTAAATACATGTAAGGTTTCATTTATGTGTGATCCAAGGTCAGCCCCGAGATTTTGGAGACCCTGTGCAGTTTGATAAAAATGGGCCCTAAATTTTGAAAAATCTCAGAAATTTAAGCAAAAATATTATAAATTTTAATTTCCCATTGCAAATACATAAAATTAAATTTTCAATCAAATAGTACACAAAAAAGAAAATGGCTTCTATATTATTGGATTCTTGGTTCTAGATTTTCCACACTTCAAATCACAAAGAGGATATCAAAATAAAAATCAGAATCCAAATCAGCATGATATGTTTCATTATCAGGAAAAAAGTATAACAATGATATTATATCAGAAATCCCAAAATGACCTTATGATTTTCGACGCTACAAATTAGAATTTACCTTAATTCCTTGTTCATTTTGAATTATGATTTACGAAAACTCATATCATTGTTCCTCCGATTTAATGATTACTAATTTGAAAGTAGTAAAAAAAGAAAAAAGAAAAACTGATCAGAAATTTACAGCTTCTGAAAAAAGAAAAACTGATCAGGAAAAGAAAAGACAAAACTAAAGTTGAATGTTACCTTCTAATTGTTAAATTTCAAGCAGGTAATAAATTTGAGGCTTCTAAAATCATTGGTAAGCTTTGTTGGAACTGAAATCGTTGGTAAGCTTCATAGTTTTGAGAAGAAAGAAAAAAGAAGTAAGATTGTTGATTGCTTGTGTCTTTGATATTGGAATGGAATCGGCTTATGCTTCCTGTCACCCATGTGTGCATTATTAGTGAAGAAGAAACCAGAAACCGAAGAGTTTTTTTGTTTTCCCAAAAATTTTCCCACTCCCTCCTTGTTGCATCGGTTGATGGAGCAATAAAAAAACTAACCTAATTTTCTTAGGTTATTGACCGAACATACTCTACTCTAAATGCTAAAAGAAATTAAGGCCTATAATTTTTTGGGCTCGTTGATGAACCTTTTTTACATATTATATTTTTATTTCATGCATCTCAAATTCAGGCTCCAAAAATTTGAAAACTTCGTCATTTGGAATGAATATGTTGATCATAACTTGAATAAGGTTTTTTTTTAAGAGTGAAGCCTTATATATATGGACTTCATTGTGGACCTACTTTTTGTATTTATGTAACTTTATTATGATTATATAGTGATATGAAGTTGTAACATCCAAAATTGGATTATAATTATTGGGATAAAATGTTTTTGTTATATCGCATTATTTAAAAAACTAATAAAAACGAGATGGTAAAGACAAGTTCCTAAAATTATCCTAGTAGATATGACCAAACACTAAATTGGAATGAATTGATACAAATAATTAGCATGCACTTAATTGGAATAAAATGATAAAAATAATTAGAATGAGATTTGAAAATCAAATGCAATTCAAATACATGTTTGTTAATTATTAAGTTGTAAATGGATATGATCTCTCGTATGTATGAAAAAATGACTTTGATAATTTATATATATTTATAACTTATATTTTTAGAATAAATATTTTAAAATATAGCTTACAAGATCAAAAAATAATAATGACGTATAATAATGTAGTTAAGTTGACATTTTTTGTAAAAAATAGGAAATGATGTTTCCTTTAAAGTCAGCCCAAGCCCAACCAAAGCCCAAGCTTCCCCATATAATCTCGTCCCCCCTCCCTCCGCCTTCGCCCCCGCCCCCCTAAAGTGTAAGTACAAGCCTGGAGTTGAACTCACCACCCCCAATGGGAGGTTCAGGTAGAAGAAGAAAGTATATATCAGTTCTCTCATCGCACACATCACAATGGTCATCGTTGCCTCATCGATTGCTCCGCGTGTCCTCATTTCCGAGTGCTGGCCATCACCGACCTCTTCGATTATTCACTCTTTGACCGTTTGAACCAATACGACAAAAGTAGGTAACTGTCACGATTTGTCGGCTACATACATAATGTAGTCATTTTTGGCTGCCTTTTAAATCGTTGACAAATTCAATTCAATGGGATAAAAGGAGCTACGGATGCACATGATTGTCTTTGCATTATCTAAATGTGTGTCCATGACCCTCATCAACAGTCTCTTAACTTTAGTTTATCCACAACACAACTTCACTTTCACTTACAAATTACAATACCATCTGTAATTTGGCTACCAATTTGAATCGTCATGTCGATCCTCCAAAAACTAGATCAGTTTAGAATTCCATTTGAAGATATAAAACAGGCAACCAACAATTTTGGTCCTGAAAATGTCATCGGACTGGGTGGTTACGGGATGGTGTATATGGGAGAGCTTATACACATACGCTCAAGAACGCCTATCAAGATTGCAGCAAAGCGGGTTGATCGAAGATTTAACCATGGAGTAACCCATTTCTTAAACGAGATCAAAGTGCTTTCTTCATACAAACATGTAAATATCGTCTCCTTTATTGGCTTCTGTGATGAACATGATGAGAAGATCCTTGTTGAGAAGTTCGTTGCATACGGAAGCCTGGATAAGTATCTAAGTAGCGCAAAGCTGAATTGGATGAATCGCATCCAAATTTGCCTTGGTGCAGCTCATGGGTTGAATTATCTTCACAATGGTCTTGAAGGTCATACTGTTCTTCACCGTGACATTAGGAGCAGAACCATTCTATTAGACACAAATTGGCAACCAAAGATAGGTGGTTTGGGCCTCTCCATGATGGATCCGATGCTTCAGATCGTTAGTGATGGTTTTGGTGCAAATGGGTATGTGGATCCGATGTTCTTGAAAACTGGGATTATAACAAAAGAATCAGATGTATACTCCTTTGGGGTGGTGTTGTTTGAAGTTTTATGTGGAAGATTGGTATATGAGACAAGTGAAGATGAGAAACGATTTCTGGGTCCATTGGCTCATCAGCTCTATGAAGAGGGGAAGTTGAATGAGATCATAGATCCCATTTTAAGGGAACAGATGAATCCGGATTCTTTGGAGACTTTTTCAGCTATTGCATATCAATGTGTGGAAACCAGTCGATGGCAACGCCCATCAATGATTCAGATTGTGCAAAAACTTGAACAAGTCTTGAGACTTCAACAGGAATTTGAGAATGCATTGGCTCTTCAACAAGTAAGTTAATTTTGCATTTATTCATTTATTCATCTTAATAAATGAATAAATTCACATCTTTAATTAAAGAATACCACAATTTCACATTGATCTTATTTGTGTATGGCTGGTGTAAATGTTAGGATGCACAAAGTTTGAAAGGAAAACAAGAAGACGAAGACTGCTACAAGGTAATGAAACTTATCATTCTATATACAATGGCAGGAACTAATTTCTTCCTAGAAAATTTGTTCGAATGTTGTATATATGATACATATACACATGCATACATACATACATACAAGAGCATATGACTTCTTTATGATGAATTTCCAATCGTGCAGGTGAAAAACTTGGAACACATGAAAATTCCATTAGAACAGATAAAGCTAGCAACTCGTGATTTTCACGATGATTTTCTAATAGGACGTGGTGGATATGGGAAAGTGTATAAAGCAGATCTCTTCCACTTTGATGTACAAAAATACATCAAAGAAAACGTATATCGCAAAGTTTCTATGATTGAACTCTCAGGCTTCGAAAGAAGAAAAAGCACAGTTTCCATTAAGCGATTAGATCGTAGATACGGACAAGGAACCGCAGAGTTCCTACAAGAAATCTCAGTGCTTCCTTATTTTAAGCACCAAAATCTTGTCAAACTTGTTGGCTTCTGTGATGAAGGTCATGAGCGTATTCTTATCTCAGAGTATGCCTCAAATGGAAGCCTTGATAAATATGTTTGTAGGAACAATCATACATGGGCACAACGTCTGCAAATTTGTCTTGATGCTGCACATGGACTTGAATTTCTTCATAATGGTGTTGGAGAGTATCATAGGATTATACACCGTGATATCAAGAGCTCAAACATTTTGTTGGATCGAAATTGGGTGGGGAAGATCAGTGACTTTGGGTTGTCAAGAATTGGGCCTGCAAATTTACAAGCCACCTTTGTAACGACTCAAGTTGCAGGAACACTTGAGTATGTTGATCCACAATACCACAAGACAGGAATGTTGACAAAAGGTTCGGATGTGTATTCATTTGGAGTGGTTTTAGTTGAAGTATTAAGTGGAAGGTTGGCTTACTTTCCAAGGTCCAAAGGTGACCCTGAATTTTTACCCCACATGGCTAAACGTTGCTTCGAACAGAATAAGATCATTGAGATTCTTGACCCTAAGTTAAAGAAAGAATTCGAAAAAGGCTCTTCTTCCACTTTTGATGACGAAATCTGTCCAGATTCAGTAATTATATTTGCAATAATTGCATATAAATGCTTGCAAGAAAATCGAGATGATCGCCCAGCAATGCCAGAAGTGGTGGAAGAACTTGAAAAAGCATTAAAATCTCATGTAAAAGGGGTGGAGAAGCTAAGAACTTCTCTTGATGCAATTAGATTTGCTACAAATGACTTTAGTGATGTGATGGAGAAAGGAGTACATCACACTGTGTATAGAGGAGAACTTTCTCATTCAAAGGGACACCATGATGTTATTGTAAAGCGGCTTAATCCTATAGTTACATCAAATGGAAACCAATTTTATAAAGAGATCACAATGCTTTATAGTTATAGCCACAAGAATATCATTCCTCTTTTAGGATTTTGTGAAGAGGCAGGTGAGAGGATTGTTGTTTTTGAGCATATGGTTAATGGAAGTCTGAAAAGGCATGTGAAAAACACAAGTCTAACATGGAAACAACGCCTAAAGATATGCATTGATGCTGCACATGGGCTAGCTCACATTCATAGTGGTGTTAATACCCAATATTCAGTTCATGGAGACATAAAAAGCAGTATCATTCTACTAAATCATGACTGGAAAGCTGTTATTTCTGATTTTATCATACCCAAAGGTGTAGGGACATTAGGTTATTATGATCCACTCTATGCAACCACGGGAAATTTAACCCATAAATCGGATGTCTATTCGTTTGGTGTGGTTTTATTTGAAATCTTATCAGGGAGATTGGCAATTGAAACACAAAATATTGATAAGAAACAGTCACTCCATGGAGGTGAAGATGATCGAGTGATATTTCTCTCACAGTTGGCTGCACAATGCTTCCAAAACAATCGATTGGAAGATATTATCTTTCATGATATGAAGGGAAAAATTGATGCAAAATCTTTGGTTGGTTTTTCAACAATTGCCTATCGATGTTTGCAAGAAAGGCTAGAGGAACGTCCAACAATGGCTGAGGTTGTAAAAGAACTTGAGAAAGCCTTTGTATGTCAAGTAAGTTACTTCATTTTCATGATGAAATTTTGTTCATGATTAAGTAATGCTCATAACCATAGGAAGTAAATTTGTGTGATTCTCCAAGCTTTAACTGCTTGTAGTTCTAATGTTTTAATGTTTCACATATACACAGGATGAGTGGGAATGGGAGCAAAAGTTGCCTAGAGATTATGAGAAAATAATTCATGTGTCAAATTATCCAATATCAAATCTAAGCTCCAAGAAGGATCTCCATTCCCTTCTTTCTTCAGGAATTCTCATTCCCAATGAAAAACTGGTAATTCAATCTTAACCTTTTTTTTTTCTCTCTCTCTCTCTCACACTCTTTTACCACTTTTGATGATCTTATTTTGTAACAGTGGTTTTCAATAAGCATGGATGGATTGAAAAATGTAGTGATCTCAGCAACAAAGTTTTCTTACGAAAACGTGAAGTGGAGATCTATACGAAAGTCAAGGTCTCTCTCTTTCTCATTCATGAGGTTCCGACTTATTTGAAATATGTGATCAATATACTGATTATAATATAGGATCTTTAAGGTTATAATATATCCGTGTAGGTTTGCAAAGGTTGCAAAGATACCAGATCTCTCAAATCTCAACATCCGAATCAACATAAAAACTCAATTTTTAACCCCTGGGGTCATGTATAGAGCTTACCTAGTGTTCAAGTTTTGTGATCGAAGAAAGGTTTCTAGTAGACCATTATACGTGAATCTAAAATACAACAAGTCAGACGAAACCTTAAATGCATATTTTGCAGAGTGGAAAACTGGAAGCAATTGGCTAACAATTGAACTGTTTCGATTTTGGAATAATGATAAGGAAAGTGCTATTGAATTTGATGTTCTTTTAGAGAGCTTTTCTCGTTATTATTGTGGAAGTGGGGGAATCTTTGTTGAAGGCATAGAGTTTCAGGCCATTCACCATGTAAGTCAAAGAAGGCATGCAGTATGTATGTATGTATGTATGTATGTATGTATGCATGTAAGGAGAAGATGAACAAATTATATGCTATATTGACATAGTCATGCCCTTGTATGCAGGTGGATACCAATAGTAACGAAGAATTAAATTATGAAAGAAACATAGGACCCTTGAAACCAATGTCAAACACGGATTTGGTTGAACAAATGTCAATTGATCATTGTCAAGAAATAATCAACCGGTCTGAAATTGAAAATAATATCCGAAGCTCCTCCAAAGAGGAGCTTCACAACCTTCTTTTCAAGGGAATTCTTATTGACAAGGGTGAAAAGGTTTGATTCTTTTTTGTTTTTAATTTACCGAAATTAGGGAACACCACAAATTATGATCATATATGTATGTATTATATATAAAATCCTTCCGGTTTGATAATGCAAATTAAAAACTCTATGATGAACAGATATTTTCACTAAGCAAAGAGAACCGGAAGAAATGCCATATGCTACCCGCAAAAGCTGTTATATATGACCATTCAGATGTGAAGTCCTACAAAATAAAACTTCAATCCCAATTCAGGTTTGCTTTTTTAGTCAAATATCATAAACTCATCTTTATTTTATCTTTGATGGAATGACGTAATTACATGATGACTTAATATATATATAGGTGCAGATTTGGAGAATATGTTGAGATTCTCTCTCGCCATGAATTACGTATCAAATGTGACATTGAAACACAAATGCTCTCATCAGATACAGCCTATGCTTGTTTCCTTGTGTTCAAGCTTTCAGAAAATTGTGGTGGGCTCAAATGTCCAGTGAAAGCAAGGGATTTACTACCTTATAAAAAGGAAAGAACCAAAATTATTTCTTTTAGACCTCCAAGCATAGTGAACTTGGATAAAATTAAATGGATTCCAAAACAGAGAGAAGATGGGTGGATTGAGGTCATAGTGTGGGAAACCATCTCTTCTGATGATTCTGATTCTATTTCTATGGATTTGAAACTCATAAGTTTTGAAGGAACTATGTCTGGTCTCATGGTTTGTGGCATTGAGTTTCGTCCAATATAGAACACAATTTATGTAACAACATTTTTTTATTACTATTGTATCAACCAACACTCTAATTGCTCTAACTGTGCATGGATCTTTAAGAGATCATTTTTTTTTTTTGTCGTGTGAATTTGATTACTTATCAAAGAATGAAAAGAGTATACCAACGTTTCCTAACATAAAAAGAAGGAAAAAGCTAATTTTGCCCACCAACTTTCCATATTTTTCCAGAATGGTTAAGAAAATATTGTTCTTGCAGTAAAATTGGTTCAAAAACTCCATTCATGGAAAGCTTACATTTGCATATAATCCGCTCCCATCAATTGATTCAGATTTGCGATTTGTCTTAAAATGGTTCACTCAGGCGTGATTCTGGGCGATGATCCCTAATTATGGATGAATCACCTACATACAAGTCCCTCAAAGCTCACTGATTTTCACATTTTGTACTGATTGAAGTGGTGTAACAAATATATTTTTAAGATTAAATACAAGGATTGAGTTCCAATAAGCCACAAATATATTTATCAGGGTTCCAAGTTAAACAAACAAACAACAATGATCTGTTTGTAAGAAACTATGAAAAACTGACTTGATTAAACAAACAACAAACAGTGGCTTATAGCATATAATTAAACCAGTGAACCAATGTATGAATCATGAAGAAGGTGAAAGCGAGGCCACAAGAGGACTGCAGCCATAACCAATTGAAATTTCACAAATTAAAATCATTCAAAAGATCTCTACAAGCATGAAGGATTTCCAGAGTTTGACATATGCAAACAACTTAGCTTATAACTTTTAATTAAACTGCTGAGGGAAGAATATCCAAAGCAACCTCTTTGAGGGTTGGCATCTCTTCCTGTCGATGCACACACACATATCGACTTCCCAATCTCCTTAGCACTTTCCATGGGCCCGGGTAACACCTAAATGGGTTTTTATAATAAAAAAATGTGCTTCAGGGTGATGAAAAACAAGTAATCAACCATATATAAATTGAAGGTTTTGTAAGGAATCTCTATTATTATTATCATTAGCTGCAAACCTGAAAAGGGCTCCCCCATTGCGACCTTTGAAATTATGGATGTAATACACAGTTTCCATCACAGGAAAAAGAGTCTTGGAAAGTTGAGCAAGTTTTGGATAGAAGAATGATGGGTAATCTTGTTTTTAATCTCAAGGACAACAAAAAAAAAAAAAAAAAAAAAAGTAGTTATCAATCTTCTAAACTAGAAAGCTTTTAAGAAACAACCCTAAGAATTAGAAAGCCAAGGATACAGCCTGATCTGATACGATCAAGTTCCCCATTGAATATGATCATCTGCCTAGCAGTGGATGCCACTGCTTCCCTGTAAAGCTCTTCCACAACAAGCATTTCTGTGTTCAAAAATAATGGCAGCTTAAAATACCTTCTGCTAAATAAGAACAGCAAAATTTACAATGGAAGAAAAATAAAATACCATTGACATTGAAATAAGGATAGCCGACTATGAACAGTTCATCTTCTTCCTTAACACGATCAACCATTTTAACCTTTTCAACAATACCAAAATCTTGAAAAAATGAGGGCTTTGTTAGATAATCCAACTTGAAAGAAGCACCTCCGAATACTGATTTTCTTGCAAATTGAACTTCATTAGCCTCTGGGAAAAACTGCAAGTTTTGGTGCATCAGTTTCCAACATATATATAATATAATATGGTGAAACAGATACTAGAACTACATAGACTGTTTATTTACATACTATTCTGGTTTTTGTAGCCTTTTCTGGTACTACAAGAAGGTCACAAAATTCACGAATCAATTGCATACTTCCAGTCATTTCAATACCACCTTCACCATCGCCTAACATATATAAATTAAGCTCAATAGTCACACTAATGGACATGAATTGAAAATTAAATAAATAAATAAATACAAAGAGGAGTTGTTGAATAAGAAAAAACCTGGCACGGATTCCAGCCCAGCAGTTGGAAACTCAATCTCCTGAGGTTGAAAGTTGTGGAGTACAAACTCTATAGAAACTGTAGACATGTAATTTTTTGCATCTTCCATCCATAAATAACAACAAATAATGAACTAACTCACCATCAACTGTATTCCATCCTTCAAAGCTATCTGAGTTGCTTCTTTTGCCTGTTAATCGCAGATTTAAATTCAAATTCTTGATACTAAATTGTTGTTATGGATCTATGTCAAAAAAACAAACAAATTTCAAGCATTGTTGTTCAAATCCAACATTCCAACCTGATCAAGAAGTTCTTCATAACCACCAGGAAACGGCACATCAAACGGAATCGATGAAGAAACTGACCTAACACCAAACGCAACATCTCTACCAATCTTGTTCATCGCCACTCTTCTTGAGCCCCCGAAGTTCGAATTCAAATTCACCTGCAAGTTAGCGTTCTAAAGTTTAGCTTTTTTATCCAACATTCTGCAACTTACATATCGACAATCCATAAAACAAAAAGCGGTGATGAAAATGCCCTAGACTGGCTAAGTTAGTAGATAAAATCGCTTGGTTTTGTGAATTACGGGGAAATTAGGAACCAATCAAGAGGATATGTGGACAGGATGAACATTGACATACCTGCTTGTGTTGAAGAACAGAAGGGGCAGCAGTTGGTAAGCTGAATGCAGTTGGGATAGTGGATAACGGCATTTTGAAACCAAGAAAATTTGTGGGTAAGGGAGAGGTCCGCTGAACCAAGTTTTTCCAGCTCAGTTGTTCAAATACGAACGGTCCGGAAACCTATTAAACCGGATGTTTGCTCGAGTATTCGGACGGTTGATTTATTACAAAACCAATTAAATATCTTCTTATTTATTCTCAATATTTATTCTTCATTAAATATGTTACTATTTATTTTTCTATCATTTTTAGATTAAGGCAAATATAATAAATTTCTTTATTAATTTTATTAAGAGAAATTAAATATCCTCTTATATTTTTATTTCTATCATCTTCATATAATATCAAATATTGATGTGTCGCATTTCATAATACATTTAATGAAATTGATAATATTTCAATCCACTTGTCACCATTTAATAGAGTTTTCTACCGTGGTATAGTTCTCTTCAAAATTATTTACCGAAAGATAGTACTTTAAAAATAATTACTATAAGATAGTAAATTAAATTTTGATCGGTTTTGTTTCCTTCTTTTTAAAATATTTAATTGCCCTTTCAATTTTATCGCAACCACCACCTTCCCCTTTCAATTTTGAGTTGTCTGTTTTTTCCCATACGTGAATTATATTTATGTTATAGAAGATATACCATTACTATGGTACTCTCTATTCACTGTAAATCTGGAAGACCCGTGAATATAATTTTTTGGACTTGTCATAGTATAACAATACAATGATCGGATCTCTTAACGATCCCATTCCCAATCTCTTCGATATGACCTCTGTGAAAAATGGTTTTTTCTATCTTACAAGTACCCAAACCTTTCAAATCCGTTCCACTTTACCCAGTGAATACACCTAACATTAATCAACCGAAAGTTAAATTTCGTTTGTAATGATTTGAAAACCCCACATTGGTAACAATATATCAAAGAGTAAACATCTACATCCCGATCACCGACTTGAATGGTGATGAACACAGGTTGGTTTGCAAATTGTGATGGTTTTTTCAGGGCTGATTATGTCATTGATCGGACGTCTTCATAAAATGGAGACGACCTTTGCTTTCTTCTGGTTTAACGTGGCAATTTCCGGTCATGAATAAATGACGAAGATAAAAGAAAGAAGAGAGGGTGGTGGAGGGGGTTGCTAGCATCTCAATTTTGAAGGCTATCGTCATGGAAATCGGGAGGGTTATCCACGAGAAAGTTTTTTTTTTTTTTCAATATAAAATTAAGGTCGAAATTACTTTGACCACGTTTTAGTAAATATTTTCTAAATAACAACTGTTTAGTAAATATTTTTTCCAATCACTATCGTTTAGTAAAAAACTCCCATTTAATATGGATAGGATGATAGTAGGAATAAAATGTAAGAGGATTTCTCTTTTATTAAATATGACAATATAAAAAGGATGGTAAGAGAAAAAATTAAAGGATATTTGATTTTTCTTATCACAAATAAGTGTTTGTTTATTTGTAGTTAATAAACTTTATATATATATATATATATATATATATATATATATATATATATATAAGGTTAAAATGTTTTTAGCAAGTATTGTGTGCATCTATGCACCAATGAGAATTCAAGAAAAAAATAAATCATTAATGTAAAAAAAAGGGTAGATGAGTCATTTTATTTTTATAAACTTAAAATAAATTCTTATATATTTGGTATATCCCTTAAATCACGTCTACTATTGTTTGACTTATTTAAAATCACCATATCCACAACCCTAAATGCACAAAAAGGGGACGCATCTTCTTCAACAGATCAGGGATAATGAATGATCGAATGGAAGCAGTCAAAAATCAAGGGCACAATATCTCCGACTTCGGTCCTTTCCTCCCCCTTTCATCAGCAATACACGGACACAATATCTCTGACTCTGCGTGCACTCCCTTTGTCACCTAACTCAGGTACAACATCTTGATCTTTCTTAATTTTACAAATAAAAATCGATTCATCTCTTCTTTATAACATGGATTCATCTGTTCTGTATAACATCCTTATTCATCTGTTCTTTAATTAAGCAATGGCAGGTTTACTTTTTATAAATGCCCACCATGTTTGACGAATAGATCCTGAAGTTGTTTAATTCATCTGTTCTTTAATTCATTTGTTCTTTATAACATCCTGAAGTTGTTTGACGAAATGTCTAGTACAAATCTGTTAGAATTCATCAACGCCTACCATGTGTTTGATGTAATTACTGAACTAGGAGTACAACAAATTATCTCTATTAATGTTATTATTTGTGTACTATAATGTTATTACTTAGTGATCAACTAACTGAAATATTAGAATAGTTATCTTACATCATCATCGGGTGTTATTCTCATCTTTAACTGTTTCATTCTTTAAGAATATTTTGCATCTAATGGATTTTTTTATTTGAATAATGTGTAAAGAGTATTATTATATTCTTGCAGAATCACATAGGAATGATTCTGCCAGAATTATAGTTTTAGTATAATCACATAAGAATGATTATGGTAAAATCACACAAGAATGATTTTTCTAGGGTTTTATTGCAACTGGATTAATCTTTTATCATGATTTCTGCCATAATTTATAGTTTTATTCTTTTAGAATGCATAGAATTTAGAATGCTCATGGTGAATGTACAAAATGTTACTCTTACATATTCGATTTCATGGCAGTTATTCTCATCGAAGACTCGATTTGAAGAAAGTTATTATCAAAGAATGTGCAAAAGGAAGCTTATGATCAAGTGTTGGAAGGTTGGATGATGGCATGTGGGATGAAGATGAACAATGGTTAATGATCTTCACAAAAGAAAGCACTGACATAATAATTTACAATATAATGATACGACTATATATTATAGTATATATTCTGGTAGAATATTTAGTTACAATAATCTACCAATTGTGTTTGTTTTGTTATTAATGAGTGTTTCATTATGATAGAATAGTATATTAAGATTTTTATTTTTTAAGAATGTGATTGCAAAAATTTAACTTGTATCAAAAAAAAATTGTTATTCTTAGAAAGTTCATTCAATCAAAAAATGTTGTTATTTCGTTTGAAGAATGATATAATCTAATATTCATTCTATAAGAATATGTATTATGCACTGTTGTAAAAATCTCGACTAGGTCCCGATTAGTCTCCGATTAATCCCTAAACACTACCCGACCGATTAGAGGGCGCCTAACGATTAATCCATGCTTAAAAAATGAGTGAAGTATTAGAAAATGATGAAATTTTAACACTTTGAAGAAGTCATATCTCAATAGAAACCATTTGAAGATTGATTAGTGTTTTATTAATCACATTAACCTATTTTATTATAATATTAGTGATATTTATGAACTTTTGTTATGATATTATTCATATTTAATTTTTAAAAATTCAACAAATTAGCAATTAATGGTCCCCAATTAATCTCCGCCTAGCCGATTAATCCCTTAACTCCGGTCGGCCGACTAGCTAACGTCGAGCGTTTTTTACAACCTTGGTATTATGTCATTCAATCAAAACATGTATCCTATAAGAATATGTATTCTGACATTCTCATAGAATATAACATTCTAAAAAAATGTCATTCTGACAGAATAAATTCGGTCATTATAAAAATACGTTGGAATTAATATTGAATAAGATTTTTAGATTTTTAAAATTAGGAGATCTAATTATCCGTTAATTTCCGAAAATTTCATTTTTTAAATATAATTAATTGTCCAGAATACCCTTATGGTGAAATTTGTGTGATTAAACTGATTATTTTTAATTAGTTAATAAATATATAACCCTTACTTAAATTATCCCAAATGATTGGCTCATAATCAATTTCATAGGCACACAATACTTAGTAAAAACAAAATAAACTAACCTTATATATATATATATATATATATATATATATATATAGAGAGAGAGAGAGAGAGAGATGCATGTTCAAATAAGAACATTTTAGAATAAATTTGCATCATTAATTTTTAAATATTAAAACCACCGGACAATTGTTGGAATCTCATAACCAACGAACCGTCTACACTTGTCCCCACATCGGAAACCACGGGCTACCTCCGTCTCTTCATGCTTCTCGATTTGCTTACCACCACCTCCCCTCACTCACTCATCCCCTCATCAGACAAAAGTTTTCATCAGGATAGGCAGTTCACGTTCGAGCTGTCAACCCCGATCTGATACACTTCGTCGCATATTCAGAGAAAGAGATGAAAGATTGGATCAATTCGATCGAAATGTCAATTGTTCAGTTGTCAAGGTTTGTCACGATCTCTATATCTTAACAAACTTTATTTGTAAAATTTGGTACGATGCTCGTTTCTTCAATTGCTTAACGACATGGATTTCAACATGTGATCATTAGAACTGGATCAGTAAACAGCCAAATAGAATAAATTGAAATGGAAATTGATTTGGCTCCAAATTAGAGTCAGTTGAAGGAAACTCAAGTGGAGTGGTGATTTGAAGAAATTAGCAGCATTTTGTAGATGATATTGTTTTAATTAGCCAAAGATGAACAACAGTTCAGAAGGATTAAACAGGATCGTGCCTAAATCAAACAAGATAACACCATCTGGATGGGAATTCCGTCAACGACCACCGCCAAAAGTTGGGAAGCAAACTAGAACGTTGAATGAGGGTAAGCATAACAATAACGATGTCAGGCAGTAAAATCTGTTAAAGGTATAACCATAGAATTTTGGATTGTAGTTATTCCTTGCTATTAAGGATAATGCTTTTGAATTGAAAATTATTGGTCCTCTTGATAAGAATCAAGCTAATTTGTAAGCTAATTTTCACTCTGATCAGGAAACCAGTGGACATGATATGATTGTGAGTTGGATTCATGATATTATCAAACCACTTCCTATCTTGACTCCAATTACTATAGATTTGCACTTTGAAACTGGAATATTAGGCAAGGACCCCTATCATAAATCCTTTGCAGAAAGGAAATGATCCTCACAATAATTTTTATTGTTTATTAGCATTGGTCAATAATTTAACTTAGGTCAACCTGTAATGTATTTAGTACTCTCCTATTTGTAATTACAATCATGGATCGTTCCTTTATGCGAATTGTTGGTGTCAATGATAAATGAAAATAGTAATCTCAATGGGTTGGATTGGAGTCTATTAGA